ATCGGCGCTCGCCTTATGACGTCGGAGGGCCCGCTGCAGGTGGACGTGTGCAGCGTTCCATGTCTCCTCCGAGCGCCGCGCCCACTCATCCACCGCAGGAGCCTCGATCTGGCTCTGCTGCCAAGGTGCCAGAACCGGCTGGTACCCTAACACACATTGGAAAGGGGTTAGGTTAGTGGAGGAATGGCGTAGGGAATTCTGGGCCATTTCGGCCCAGGGAACGTACCTTGCCCACTCCTCCGGCCGGTCCTGGCAGTATGTTCTAAGAAACCTACCCACATCCTGGTTCACACGTTCCACCTGCCCATTACTCTCCGGGTGGTAACCCGAGGTGAGGCTCACCGAGACCCCCAACCGCTCCATAAAAGCTCTCCAAACTCTGGAGGTAAATTGGGGACCTCGATCAGACACAATATCCTCGGGTACCCCGTAGTGCCGGAACACATGGGTGAATAGGGCTTCGGCAGTTTGCAGGGCGGTAGGAAGGCCCGGCATGGGGAGCAAACGACAGGCCTTAGAAAACCGGTCCACAACGACCAGTATAGTGGTATTCCCCTGTGAAGGAGGAAGGTCAGTAAGGAAATCCACCGAGAGGTGGGACCATGGTTGCTGTGGAACGGGCAGGGGTAGTAACTTACCCCTAGGCAGATGTCTAGGCGCCTTACACTGGGCGCACACCGAGCAGGAGGAAACATAAACCCTCACATCCCTTGCCAACGTGGGCCACCAGTACTTGGCACTAAGACAGTGCACTGTCCGGCCGATACCCGGGTGTCCAGAGGAGGGTGACGTGTGAGCCCAATAGATCAATCGATCCCGAACCTCGAGCGGAACATACTTCCGACCCTCCGGGCATTGTGGTGGACTAGGGTCGGTGCGTAACGCCCGCTCGAGCTCAGCATCGACCTCCCACACTACCGGTGCCACCAGACACGACTCCGGCAGTATGGGAGTGGGCTCCACGGACCTCTCCTCCGTGTCATACCGCCGAGACAGCGCATCTGCCTTACCGTTCTGTGACCCAGGGATGTACGTGATCTTAAATGTAAACCGGGTCAAGAACATATTCCATCTAGCCTGCCGAGGGTTTAGCCTCCTCGCTGCCCGGATGTACTCCAGGTTACGGTGGTCCGTCAAAATGAGGAAAGGGTGTTGAGCCCCCTCAAGCCAGTGCCTCCACACCTTTAGGGCCTGTACCACGGCTAACAGCTCCCTGTCCCCTACGTCATAGTTTCGCTCCGCCGGACTGAGCTTCTTGGAATAGAAGGCACAGGGGCGGAGTTTAGGTGGCGCGCCTGACCGTTGTGAAAGCACGGCGCCAATACCGGCCTCAGACGCGTCCACCTCTACCTGAAATGGTAAAGAGGGATCCGGATGCGCCAGCACTGGAGCCGAGGTAAACAGGTCCTTCAGCCTCCCAAATGCCCTGTCCGCCTCGGCAGACCACTGCAGACGCACCGGACCCCCCTTCAAGAGAGACGTGATGGGAGCTGCCACCTGTCCAAAACCCCGGATAAACCTCCGGTAGTAATTCGCAAACCCCAAAAACTGCTGCACCTCCTTCACAGTGGTTGGTGTTTGCCAATTACGCACGGCTGACACCCGGTCTACCTCCATCTTCACCCCTGACGCAGACAACTGATACCCCAAAAAAGAGACAGACTCCTGGAAAAACAGACACTTCTCTGCCTTAACATACAGGTCGTGCTCCACCAGCCTCCGCAACACTCTGCGCACCAGGGCCACATGCTCGACACGGGTAGGCGAGTACACGAGAATGTCATCTATGTACACCACGACCCCCTGCCCCTGCATGTCCCTGAAGATCTCATCCACGAATGATTGGAAAACTGACGGAGCGTTCATCAACCCGTATGGCATGACTAGATACTCGTAATGGCCCGAGGTGGTACTAAAGGCTGTCTTCCATTCATCGCCCTCCCTGATGCGCACCAAGTTGTACGCGCTCCTGAGATCTAATTTAGTGAAGAAACGCGCCCCATGCAAGGACTCAGTCATGGTCGCAATCAGCGGGAGTGGATAACTGTACTTCACCGTGATCTGATTGAGACCACGGTAATCGATGCACGGGCGCAAACCACCATCCTTCTTCTTCACAAAAAAGAAACTCGAGGACGCAGGGGAAGTGGAAGGCCGTATGTATCCTTGTCTCAGAGATTCGTCTATGTAAGTCTCCATAGCTTTCTTCTCCTCCTGAGACAGAGGATACACATGGCTCCGTGGGAGCGCAGCTCCTGCCTGGAGGTCTATCGCACAATCTCCCTGCCTATGGGGCGGCAACTGCGTCGCCCTCGACTTACTAAACGCAATAGCCAAATCCCCATACTCAGGGGGAACGTGCAATGCGGGCACCTGGTTTGGACTCTCCACCGAGGTAGCCCCTACGGAAACGCCTAAACATCTACCCACACACTGGGCAGACCACTCCATCAGAGCCCTCTCCTGCCACGAAATAGATGGGTTATGGGTACTCAACCAGGGCATGCCCAGCACCACCGGATACGCAGGAGAGTCAATCAGAAATAGCTGAATCATCTCCTGATGACCCCCCTGCGCACACATCCTAAGTGGCGCAGTGACCTCCCTGATCAAGCCCGCACCCAACGGACGGCTATCTAGGGCATGAACGGGGAAAGGGACATCAACAGGAAGAAGGGGAATCCCTAAAGCTAAACAAAACTTCTTATCAATAAAATTCCCAGCCGCGCCTGAATCTACCAGCGCCTTATGCTGGGAATGAGGTGCTACCTGTGGAAAACTCACAGGCATACAGAAATGTGCAACAGAGAGCTCTGGGTGAGTGGGGCGCCTACTCACCTGGAAGGAATCCCCAGTGCGGGACCTGTCGTCCTCTCCCCTAGGAGGCCATCCCCAGCACCTAGCCGCGGTGTGTCCTCCCCGACCACAGTTGGTGCAGGGGATGGACCCCCTAGTAAGCCGACCCCTCCTCTCTCTAGCGCCAGCGCCCCCGAGCTCCATGGGACACGGCTCGGAGGCGCTGGAGGGTGAAATGGACGGACCCCCCTCGGGACGTCCGCGGGTAGCTAGTAGGTTATCCAGCCTGATGGACATGTCGACCAACTGGTCGAACGAGAGGCTGGTGTCCCTACAAGCCAGCTCCCGACGGACGTCCTCTCGTAGACTACATCTGTAGTGATCGACGAGAGCCCGATCATTCCACCCTGCATCTGCCGCTAGAGTACGGAATTCGAGGGCGAACTCTTGGGCACTCCTCCTCCCCTGCCGGAGGAAGACCAGACGCTCCCCTGCCGCTTTCCCCTCCGGGGGATGGTCAAACACCGCCCTGAAGCGGCGGGAGAACTCGTCGTACGTGATGGTGTCCGCGTCGATCCTCCTCCACTCCGCGTTGGCCCATTCCAATGCCTTCCCGGAAAGGCAGGAGATCAGGGCGGACACGCTCTCATGTCCCGAGGGCGCCGGGTGCACGGTGGCCAGGTACAGCTCCACCTGGAGAAGGAATCCCTGACACCCGGCCGCGGTTCCATCGTAGGCCCTCGGGAGAGAGAGTCGGACTCCTCGAGGTTCCGGTGCGGGAATGGGCGGACTGGCCGATGGTGCTGGCAGGGAGGGTGGCGGTGGAGGCGTTCCCCAGCCTCGGATGGTGGTGATCACCTCCTGCAGTGCGGTCCCCATCTGCAGGATCTGGTCCCGTTGTTCCCGGACCTGGTCCTCCAGCGTCGTCTGGGCTGCTGCGGCTCCTGCTGATTCCATATAGGTGTGTTATTCTGTCAACGCGTGCTGTAGGTGGGTGTAGTGGTGGAATCAAACGCAGAACACCGAAGGATAGTCCAAACAACTTTAGTAACTCTCCAAACCGGAAAAATGACAACACTTGCCCGAAGGCCAAAAATACGCACAAAGGCGAAATAGCAACAAGCGCACTAACAGGTGCGTAACGCTCCAACGCAGTGGAGGAAAGCTCAACCGAGCGAAAGGGCGAAAATAAGCCCTACACACGACAGACAAAATCCAATAACACACAACACTAGACAAACACAACGAGAAACTTATAGGACACTAATTACGCTAAACGAGAACAGGTGTGACAACAAACAGACAAAAGCAAACGAACATGAAACATACAACGGTGGCAGCTAGTATTCCGGAGACAACGAACGCCGAAGCCTGCCCGAACAAGGGAGAGAGGCAGCCTCGGCCGAAACCGTGACAACAAAGTTGGAGCCGGCTTCGTAGGTGGTTTGAAATGTGGCTTGAAATATCCCATTCCATATGCTTTTTGGCTGTTCAGCTGCAGGAAAAATAACAGATTCGAATCGGATATGCAAAAAATCTGTATTTGATTCGCTTCAAACTGTGTCTGACTTTCGGTTGCTGCAGATTCACCTCCCCTGTTAACTTCGGTAGTTGTGTGTAACCGTCTGCATTAGCCTAACTACTCGAACACACCCATTGCCTGTCATGTACATAGCAAGGCAGATTTCTGGGCGACACGACCAAATTTACATAGAAATGTTAAGTATAGATCTGTCATACTCATTGAAAGTAAGTCTAAGAAGCATTAGATCCGTTCTATGTGCCCTATTTCTAACATGTCCATTAAATTGTGTTTTTTTATCTTTTTACTTTCTAAAGTAAAAATAATGTATGCACTCACTAACTGTAAGTCGCTCTGGATAAGAGCGTCTGCTAAATGTACAATGATTAGCTTGTTTTGTTACATAAACTGAAATTAGGCGAACCATTATAATTTTAGCAACCAGGAACTTTTGGTGGACTGACGCATATATTGCACGAGGTGGCCTCAAACCCAAATCAGACCAGAGACAGAGCGAACAAAAGCAAACGGACCGAAAGGTAAAAAGTTTACATTAGAAGCATTATAGGGGCTACGAGGCTAGAGGTATTTTAGCATGCAAAGGTCAAGGACAAAGCAAAGCACCCGATTCCCACCACCATTTATTGGGGCAGCTTCAGCCGAACCAGGGCTCACAGAAGACATGTCTGAGGGGTGCCAATCTCTGCCGCTGCCTGAGATCCAGGCCATTGTTTGTGACTTGTGTACAGAAGACAGGAAGCCAGCACTGAAGACCTGCATCAAATGTGAGATGTCAATGTGTGCCCAGCACTTGGAGCCGCTCCTGACAGTGCCATTGCTGCTGCAGACACATACCCTGACTGAACCCATAGCACGGGGGGCTGGGGGAGTTGGGTTGGCCACGAAATGCCCCCACCACGGCAAGACTCTGGAGTACTACTGCTTGGATGACCTAACCAGTGCGTGTCTGTCCTGCGCCATCGAGGACCAGCATCACGTCCACAACATGAAGACCCTGCCTAAGGCACACAAAGAGCTGAGGGAGAAGTTGAAGAAGGAGCAGAAGGCTTTGGCCCAGAGAGAGAACCAGAGCCTGGAGCTAGTCAGGTGGGATAAGGAGCAGAGGAAGAGGTTGGCTAGTTCCAGTGTCCGGCTCAGTTAGGGAGTGTCCGCCCTGCGCGACATCACACTGAACAGCGTCCAGAGATCCGTCTCAGCTCGCGTAAAGTCCATCAAGACCTCCAAGAGAACCATGCAGGCTGCCCTGTCCGAGGGAGACTCCTTCCACTTCCTCCAGGGTTATGAAGGGGTGCACCAGGCTGTGGAGAAGGCCTGTGCTGTGGATCTGAGGAAGGGGCTGGAACCCGGGGCCGACCGGGACAAGCTGGTCCAGGAGCTACAACAGAGCGGAGGAAAGCTTGTGGAGCAGACAACACAGCTGTGGAGTTCTCTTCTGGCTCTGGTCGACCCCGAGAACCACCAGGAAAAACAGGGTTCCCCAGGGTTACCTCCCACCACCACGTTGACCTTTAACCCCACAAGCTTGGGAAGGGGCATGTCTCTATCCCAGGACCACAGGAAAGTGTTCCACACCCCGCTTGCCAAACTCACCACTCATACTCTTCTGTGCCAGTATAGCGGCTCTGATGCCAACCCTAGATGGGTGGTCAAATTCTCTGAGGACTGTGATTAGACCGTTGGCGTATGTGACAAGGAGGCTGCTAAGGAATTTCAATAACGGCTATGTCTATGCTCTGCGCTGGCAGAAGGACCAACTGAGCTCTGTTTGCACTCAGTACTATGACAGTGTTAGGCGTAGGGATGGGATGACCTATACAGATAAACCTCCAGAGGCACAAGTCGATTCTCAGTTTATCTATCTTCATGGGCAAAATGAAGCTCTACCTGAAACAATACCCCGTCCCATAGAATTAGAAGTGTTCTGGGACAAAACCTAACCACAATCCCTGGCCTTCTACAGCATGGGCAGATATCACCAGAGGTCGGAACTGCACAGAATGGAGATCGAGCATCATCAGGGTGACCTAAGTTCCTTTGTCACCCTGCGAACAGGAAGTAGCCCAGCCGGAGCCAGACAGTGTGGAGCGTACAGTCAACCAGAGCAGAAGTGGAGATGCCCATGTGGAGAGGTCCATCAGATTCAGAAGCAGTCTTTCTACCACCAGGGTCCCATGTGCAAATGTGAGAGGGTTATCCGTACGCCATATATGGAGGTGTTTTGTGAGCTTGTGTAATGTATGCAATGTCTAGGTTAAGTGCATTGAATTCAGTTTGGAACCCGGCTACTGTGTTGTTGCTTTTGGCCAGTGTGTTGTAGTGTAGGATTCTAATGCGTGTTGGACTCACAGTGGTTTGATTTGAGTTTACATGCAAGGCAGAACCTTGTCTCCCCCTGCTGCTCAAGTCACCCACCTATCACAATGTTGTCCCACTGTTCCAGTAACTTCCACCTTTTTTCATGTCCCTTAATCACATTTTTCTGACCTCATTATTGTACAATAAATCATGTAAATAGTCAATTGATTGAATGTAAGTACTGATGTTTCTGTTCAGATATTTTGAAATTGGTAATTTACAAACAGGTCTGAGAAGTACATTCTGATTTTCTTAACAGTTTGACATTTTAACAAACATTACAATTCATATCTGTAATGTACTTTGTATAAATGTGTGGATCTTTAATTGTCATGTTTAGATTTAATGCTAGAATGAAAAATAAACAATGAACTCTAAAACACAAATCATATGGAATGCTCTTTATTGGTCAGAACTGTGAAGACTGTAACAACAACAATTCCTAAAACGGAAAACACATTATAATAAAAGCAAAATATATAAAATGATCCTCCAAAACACTATGAAGTAAAGTAAATATACCACCATAGTGAAAACTAGTTTGTTACACACCTTAATATAATAATGCATAGACAGAGACAACGTTCTCGCAAAGTAACTGAATACCCAGGGATCCTGACATGTTGCATGTTAGGAAGGTGGACTTTGTAGTGTTTGTTGTCTTGGTTATCGGCTGTGCAGTGCAAGCAGAGAGAAAGTTTGGCCCATGTACTGGGCTGTACGCACTACCCTCTGTAGTGCCTTGCGGTTGGAGGCCGAGCAGTTGCCATACCAGGCGGTGATGCAACCAGTCAGGATGCTCTCGATGGTGCAGCTGTAGAACTTTTTGAGGATCTGAGGACCCATGCCAAATCTTTTCAGTCTCCTGAGGGGGAATAAGCTTTGTCGTGCCCTCTTCACGACTGTCTTGGTGTGTTTGGACCATGATAGTTTGTTGGTGATGTGGACACCAAGGAACTTGAAGCTCAACCTGTTCCACTACAGCCCTGTCGATGAGTGTGGTGCTCAGTCCTCTTTTTTTTCCTGTAGTCCACAATCATCTCCTTTGTCTTGATCACGTTGAGGGAGAGGTTGTTATCCTGGCACCACACGGCCAGGTCTCTGACCTCCTACCTATAGGCTGTCTCATCGTTGTTGGTGATCAGGCCTACCACTGTTGTGTTGTCGGCAAACTTAATGATGGTGTTGGAGTCGTGCCTGGCCATGCAGTCATGGGTAAACAGGGAGTACAGGAGGGGACTGAGCACACACCCCTGAGGGTCCCCCGTGTTGAGGATCAGCGTGGCAGATGTGTTGTTACCTATCCTTACCACCTGGGGGCAGCCCGTCAGGAAGTACAGGATCCAGTTGCAGAGGGAGGTGTTTAGTCCCAGGGTCCTTAGCTTAGTGATGAGCTTGGAGGGCACTATGGTGTTGAACGCTGAGCTGTAGTCAATGAATAGCATTCTCACGTAGGTGTTCCTCTTGTCCAGGTGGGAAAGGGCAGTGTGGAGTGCAATAGAGATTGCATCATCTGTGGATCTGTTGGGGCGGTATGCATATTTGAGTGGTATAGGGTTTCTGGGATAAGGGTGTTGATGTGAGCCATGACCAGCCTTTCAAAGCACTTCATGGCTACAGACGTGAGTGCTATGGGTCGGTAGTCATTTAGGAAGGTTATCTTAGTGTCCTTGGGCACAGGGACTATGGTGGTCTGCTTGAAACATGTTGGTATTACAGACTCAGTCAGGGACATGTTGAAAATGTCAGTGAAGACACATGCCAGTTGGTCAGCGCATGCTCAGAGTACACATCCTGGTAATCCGTCTGGCCCTGTGGCCTTGTGAATGTTGACCTGCTTAAAAGTCTTACATCGGCTACGGAGAGCATGATCACATAGTCATCCGGAACAGCTGATGCTCTCATGCATGCTTCAGTGTTGCTTGCCTCGAAGTGAGCATAGAAGTGATTTAGCTCGTCTGGTAGGCTTGTAATAATAAATAATAATAATAATATGCCATTTAGCAGACGCTTTTATCCAAAGCGACTTACAGTCATGCGTGCATAAATTTTTGTGTATGGGTGGTCCCTGGGATCGAACCCACTACCTTGGCGTTACAAGCGCCGTGCTCTACCAGCTGAGCTACAGAGGACCACTTGTGTCACTGGGCAGCTCGCGGCTGTGCTTCCCTTTGTAGTCTGTAATAGTTTTCAAGCCCTGCCTCATCCGACGAGCGTCAGAGCCGATGTAGTACGATTCAATCTTAGTCCTGTATTGACTCTTTGCCTGTTTGATGGTTCGTCGGAGGGCATAGCGGGATTTCTTATAAGCGTCCGGGTTAGAGTCCCGCTCCTTGAAAGCGGCAGCTCTACCCTTTAGCTCAGTGCGGATGTTGCCTGTAATCCATGGCTTCTGGTTGGGGTACGTACGATCACTGTGGGTACGACGTCATCGATGCACTCATTGCTGAAGCCAGTGACTGATGTGGTGTACTCCTCAATGCTATCTGAAGAATCCCGGAACATATTCCAGTCTGTGCTAGCAAAACAGTCCTGTAGCTTAGCATCTGCGTCATCTGACCACTTTTTTATTAACCAAGTCACTGGTGCTTCCTGCTTTAGTTTTAGCTTAAAAGCAGGAATCAGGAGGATAAAGTTATGGTCAGATTTTCCAAATGGAGGGCGAGGGAGAGCTTTGTATGTGTTTCTGTGTGTGGAGTAAAGTTGGTCTAGAGTTTTTTTTCCTCTAGTTGCACATTTAACATGCTGGTAGAAATTAGGTAGAACGGATTTAAGTTTCCCTGCATTAAAGTCCCCGGCCACTAGGAGCGCTGCCTCTGGATAAGCGTTTTCCTGTTTACTTATGGCCTTATATGGCTAATTGAGTGCAATCTTAGTGCCAGCATCGGTTTGTGTTTAAGTTGCCGGGATGTCACGTGTCCTACTTATATCAATACACTCGTAACAAGTTCATCATTACGAAACGTCTATTCAATCAAAATAACCTCAAGTACCAAATAAGCCATTCATTTTTTTGCAGACCAAATTCGAAACTCTCATTGACCTCCATACGACCTCCAAAAAACGCCACCTGCTGGAGAGAGATAGATTTTCCTTCAAGTTGGGCCTCTCTCTTCCTCTTCCTCTCTGGCGTTGCGCTGTATGTCGTTATTTGGGCTGCCCGACCAAATTCATAAATTAATGTGAGTTATAGATCTGTCATTCCCGTTGAAAGCAAGCCTGAGAAGCAGAAGACCGATCTTTTGATTTTCGTTTTCGTACTCTAGCTTCAAACAACAGAAAATACGATATTTTTGGTTATTAAAACAAATATTTCACATCTGTTTTAGATTGTGCAACGCTTATCTACACTATTCATTGTGTGTTGTCACATAAACTGAAATTAGGCTAACCATTATAATTTTAGCAACCAGGAAATGGTGGAGCAATTTCCCAATTAAGGGGGAATCAGCAGTTTTTACATCCATTTTTGGACATACATTAATGCGATGTACCCATTGATTCTTGAAGAATGTAACTTATAAGTGCCTCATTTTATTCCAATATTTGTAAACAAAGTCAATATAAACAAACACTGTATAGCCTCAAAACATGATTCAAACTATAATTTTGATATGGATGGTCATCCATAGCACTGTCTTTGAATTTGAGTGGTTACATTTCTGCACCCAAATAGTATTTACGACTTCACAACTGGTAATTACCACCTTCCCACCTGGTTATGAACGCAGCAATATTGCATGATATTAATCTAGGAGTGGCCTCAAAGGCAGAACAGATCAGAGACAGAGAGCAAACAAAGGCAAACAGACCAACAAGTACAATTTTTTGATTATAATTATAGGGGCCATCGACTTTGAAAGTCTTATTGTAAGTAAGATTGAGGGAGGCTACTAAGAGGTATTTTTAACATGCGAAGGACAACTCCTACGCGAATTTCACCACCATTCGTTGGGGTAGCTTCAAGCACACCAGAGATCCCAGAAGTGTTTGAGGTGTGCCAGTTTCTGCCGGAGATCCAGGCTGTTGTTTGTGACATGTGTGTGGATGACAAAAACCCAGCGTTGAAGACCTGCATGAAATGTGAGATGTCCATGTGTGCCGAGCACTTGGAGCCGCACCTGACAGTGCCATTGCTGCTGCAGACACATTCCCTGACTGAACCCATAGCACCGGGGGCTGGGGGAATTGGGGCAACCACCAAATGCCCCCACCACGGTAAGATTCTTGAGTACTACTGCTTGGACGACCTAACTAGTGCGTGTATGTCCTGCGCCATCGAAGACCAGCATCGCGTCCACAATATGAAGACCCTGCCTAAGGCACACAAAGAGCTGGGAGAGAAGCTGAAGGAAAAGCAGAAGTCTTTGGCCCAGAGAGAGAGACAGAGCCTGGAGCTAGTCAGGTGGGATAAGGAGCAGAGGGAGAGGTTGGCTAGCTCCAGTGTCCGGCTCATTGAGGGAGTGTCCGCCCTGCGCGACATCACCCTGACCAGCGTCCAGAGTTCCGTCTCAGCTCGCATAATGTCCATCAATACCTCCAAGAGGACCATGCAGGCTGCCCTGTCTGATGGGGACTCCTTCCACTTCCTCCAGGGCTATGAAGGGGTGCACCAGGCTGTGGAGAAGGCCTGTGCTGTGGATCTGAGGAAGGGGCTGGAGCCTGGGGCCGACCGGGACAAGCTGGTCCAGGAGCTACAGCAGAGCGGAGGAAAGCTTGTGGAGCAGACAACCCAGCTGTGGAGTTCTCTTCTGGCTCTGGTCGACCCCGAGAACCACCAGGAAAAACAGGGTTCCCCAGGGTTACCTCCCACCACCACATTGACCTTTGACCCCACGAGCTTGGGAAGGGGCATGTCTCTTTCCCAGGACCACAGGAAAGTGTTCTACACCCCGCTTGCCAAACTCACCACCCATACTCTTCTGTGCCAGGATAGCGGCTCTGATGCCAACCCTAGGTGGGTGGTCAAACTATCTGAGGACTGTGATTGGACCGTTGGCTTACGTGTCAACGTTTCATCTGCTGAGACAGTCGATGATATTGACTACGTTTCATCTGCTGGGAATGTCAATGTTTTTGCACTGCGCTGGCAGATGGACCAACTGAGTTCACTGGCAGACTTAAATTCTCAGTGTATCTATCTTCCTGGGAACACTGCAGCTCAACCTGAAGCAATACCCCGTCCCATAGAATTAGAAGTGTTCTGGGACAAAACCTCTAACCCACCATCCCTGTCCTTCTACAGCAGGGGCAGATATCACCAGAGGATGGCACTGCACAGAATGGAGATCCGGCATTATCAGGCTGACCTAACTCCCTTTGTCACCCTGGAAACAGGAAGTAGCCCAGCCAGAGCCAGACAGAAGGAAGAGTACAGTCATTCCAGACCCCTAAAGTTTGGAGGTTACGATTGGTCCAGAACCAGTAGTTATGGAGTGAACTTTCAGTCAAAACGCAATGGAGAGTACGGTCTCTATGGAGTGAACAGTCAGTCCAGAGCCAAACACTGTGTAGGTTACAAACGGTCCATAACCAGAAGTTATGGAGTGAACGGTCAGCCAGAGCAGCAGTGGGGGTGCCCATGTGGAGAGGTCCATGAAGAAGTCAAGACTCAGCAGCAGCAGTCTTTCTACCCCCTGCATGTGTCTCACCAGGGTTCCATGTGCACATGTGGGAGGGTTATCGGTACGCCGTATATGGGGGTGTTCTGTGAGCTGGTATAATGTCCACACTCTTAGAAAAAAAAGTTGCTATTTAGAACCTTAAAGGGTTCTTTGTCTGTCCCCATAGGAGAACCCTTTGAAGAACCCTTTTTGGTTGTAGGTAGAACACGTTTGGGTTCCATGTAGAAGTTTGGATCCTGGGTAGTGTTAACAAATAATTGTGAGCAAGTTTTTCTTGTTTTTTCCCTGTGAGGGGCTCAGATCACAGACAGGTGTGTGTACATAAAGACATTAAAAAAATACATAAACAAAGAATCGAAAGACAGTAGAACATAAGAACAAGGACACAAGCCAAAACACCAAATTACAACAAAATGGTTGGTTAATTAGTTCAAATTAATTAATTAAGGAGTCTGTAATTGTCCTATAATATAAATAATAATATGCCACTTAGCAGATGCTTTTATCCAAAGCGACTTACAGTCATGCATGCATACATTTTTGTGGGTGGGTGGTCCCGGGGATCGAACCCACTACCCTGGCGTTACAAGCGCCGTGCTCTACCAGCTGAGCTACAGGTCCTGTCTTCCCCCTTGTCCTTCCAGTTATAAAAAAATTTCTAGCTTACAAAATTTGAATACATTGTCATTCATGAAATTACATGAGATAGTACACAAACAGAGTACAATTGATATATTATTGTACAATAAATCATGTAAATAGTCAATTGATTGAATGCTGATGTTTCTCTTCAGATATTTAGAAATTGGTCATATACAAACAGGGCTGAGCAGCAGGACCCGAGTGGCACAGCCTTCTAATGCACTGCATCTCAGTGCTGGAGGCGTCGCTACAGACCCTGGTTTGATCCCGGGCTGTATCACATCCGGCCGTTATCGGGAATCCCATATGGCGGCCTACCTCGGCCAAACCCTCCCTTAACCCGGATGAAGCTGTGCCCAATTGGCCCAGCGTTGTCCGGGTTGAGGGAGGATTTGGCCGAGGTAGGCCGTTATTGTAAATAAGAATTTGTTCTTAACTGACTTGCCTAGTTAAATTTTAAAAAAGGCATGTTCTGATTTTCATAACAATTTGACATTTTAACAAGCAGTACAATTAATATCTGTACTGTATTTTGTATAAATGTGTGGATCTTTAATTGTCATGTTGAGATTCAATGTTAAAATGAAAAATAAACAATGAACTCTAAAACATAAATCATATGGAATCCTCTTTATTGGTCAGAAGTGACAAGACTGAAAAAAAAGTGTCTTAAGACCTGCATAACACGTTTGACAAAAACCAGAGATATAAAATGGAATTATCCTCCAAAACACTGTGACGTAAAGTAAATATACCGTCATAGTGAAAACTAGTCAGTTACAAGTACATAATAATGCATAGACAGAGACAACATTCTCGCAAAGTAACTAAATACACAGTTGTGGTGGAAATTCAACACCAGGGACACCTGAAGTCAATATTAAATGAATCACTCTTTATTATCAGTTAACTGGAGAGGTTACAACAAACACGTACAAAGTACAAGTCTGCTACAAGCTCCGCCAGGGCGCTCCCTTCAGTTCTCTTATAACATACTGCTACACAAAAAAGCTACATAGGCATGATTCATAGGGTTGGTTCCTGCAGGTGACTGGCTGTTATTGCGCGGGCTCAGTTTCCCAAGAAGCCTATCTTAACTTCCAGATCATATTCTGGGTGTTCTGCCAATTGGTCTGAGGAGGAGTCACAGTCAACTGCACAAACCAAGATAGAGTGAGAGAAGAGGCATAATCCCTTACACAGTCAAGTACAATAATGTGAAATGATGATTTCATGGACATTTTATATAGTCTCTAAGCCATTGAGAAAAGTGTGAAATCAACAGTAAGTCAAGGTAACACTCAAAGCTGTCCTGTCTCCCTCACCTCTTTAGCCTACTTTAAGTTTCCCCTCAACAATTTGACTGACTGAGTTTCTACTGTAGCTGTACAGTACATGAAACAGCTGTTTGTCAGTAGTTTCACTCTGTATCTATTCCATCCTAGCTTTAATATTTGGTCTGCATGAGAAACTAAGTAGCTATGGGGAAAAAATACTGGAATACTATATCATCTAAAACTTTTGCAAATCATTAAAGTGTAATATATATTTATTTAAGTGAGTTTGAAAAGGATTAAGTTGTCACGTTCGTTGATGAACGGGTCAGACCAAGGCGCAGCGTGATATGCATACATGTTTATTTGAAACGAATAAACAACGACAAAAACAACAAACTAACGACACGTGAAGTCCAAGGAACACAAACAACATACCTCACACGGAACAAGATCCCACAACCCACTAGTGCCAATAGGCTGCCTAAGTATGGTCCCCAATCAGAGACAATGAGCTACAGCTGCCTCTGATTGGGAACCACACCGGCCAACATAGATCTACACATAATAGATCAACACATAGAAAATCCGACATAACAAAGAATATACACACCCTGACTCAACATATACGAGTCCCCTGAGTCAGGGCGTGACATAAGTTAAATAACCAGAATTATCTTAACATTAAAATCTGCAATAATGTTCATAATTAATATTTTCATCTCTTGAATCTATCTAAAATAATACAAACTGATGGTTTCAATTTGGGATAAACTTGACCTGTAATCTTGAGATAGTTAATACTTCATACAGTGAAATACAGTATATTTATTTATTGCATATGGCTTTCAAATAGCATGGCGGTGATGTGCATAGAAGTGTTAGGAAAAGATGGGATTGAGAGGTAGAGAGAGAAAGAGAGAGAGAGTGAGAGAGAGTGCTTCAGTGAAATGCTAGGACTTGGTGGATAATAATGGACTGAGAGAAGAACCCTGTACTCAAGGCCTGCAGAGCTGAATGGGAATGATTTAGCAAGATGACACAAAAGTACGTCCTGAAGTGCCACAACAATCCTCGGTTCACTTATTAACAGAGAAATGTCAATTTCTGGTCATTTACAGAAAGAAAGTCAACATTTTCAAAAATATCAAAACGTAAATAAGACTCTTAGATAAGGGATTGTTTGAAAGTGTCATGTAAAAAAGGTTTTGATTTGTGCAACCAAACACTCATCCTAGGTTTATGTTTCTCAAATGACAAATTCTTACTATCAATGGTTACAGTATTGTGTGTGTGTGTGTGTTTGTGTGCGTGTGTGTTTGTGTGCGTGTCTGTGTGCAGCATGTGTAATAGCATCCATGTGACAGGGACGTGTTTGGCTCCTTGAACGTGAAGGGCACCTTCTCAGGCCGGTACTCCGTCAGCGCTGACTTCAAATGTCTGGGGCCCAAAAAAGTCCTCAGGTAAGTGGAGAGGAAGGGGATGGGAGGACGTCTCCAGCCTGGTGGGATGTATCTGCAACAATGGGAAGTCTATCTCTCTCTCTCAAAGAGAAGGCAGAGAGATGAGAGGAGAGGAGCTTGAGAGAAGAGAGCGGCCGACGAGAGAGGAGAGAGAGAGCGCAAGGAGGGAAAGAGAGAGAGCGGAGAGAGAGAGAGAGCGAGAGAGCGGCGAGAGGAAAAGGAAAGAGAGAGAGCGAGAACAAAGGAAAAGAGAGAGAGAGAGGAGAGAGCGAGGAGAGAGAGAGAGAGAGCGAGAGAGATAGAGAGAGAGAGAGCGAGGAGAGAGAGAGGAGAGAGAGAGCCAAAGTGCCAATCTCGCTATCTCTCTCTCCCACTTCCCATCTCTCTCTCTCTCTCCCACTTCCCATCTCTCTCTCTCTCTCTCTCTCTCTCTCTCTCTCTCTCTCTCTCTCTCTCTCTCTCTCCTCCTTCTCTCTCTCTCTCTCTCCCTCTCGCGCAGAAGGACCCTCCGGCATGGCATCCACCCTCCTCCAGGTGGCAGGTCACACGTTGATCTGATCAAGCGGATCATAGAGGTGGAGACAGGTGAATGTTCGCTCCTGTTACTCCCATCATCCTCCTTACTGAGGCGAGGCACCTCCAATACCTTCTCCTTCACCTCTTTCTCCTTTTTGTCTTTCTCCTTCTCCTGTGTCTGGTTTGGTCCGCAAATCTTGCTGCGTGCCTCGCAGATCTCCTCTGCGTCCCAGCTGATCCCGTAGCGCAGCTGTTGGACCATGAACCACAGCCTGACCTAAAATAAGGACAAGAAAATATTATATTGGTTGTTTTCACCTAAATTTGCTTTGTGTTATTAAAGCTTGTCAATTAAACTAATTACAGGACATCAAATACAACCAACAACATACAGAATATATAGAGGAGTGGTTGCCCTGACTACTGAACCCTAATGGCTGCTGACCCCTAATGGCTACTGACCCCTAATTGCTGCTGACCCCTAATGGCTGCTGACCCCTAATGGCTGCTGACCCCTAATGGCTGCTGACCCCTAATGTCTACTGACCCCTAATGGCTATTGACCCCTAATGGCTGCTGACCCCTAATGGCTGCTGACCCCTAATGGCTACTGACCCCTAATGGTTGCTGACCCTTAATGGCTGCTGACCCCTAATGGCTGCTGGAAGGAGCTCCTATTGGAAAGATGCTGACCAAGGACAACGCGTTGGTAGTTTGCCCACGCTATCTCGAAGTCAACTAGGAGTGACGCAGTGGTCCCGCAACCTCCCGAGTGGCGCAGTGGTCTAAGGCACTGCATCGCAGTGCTAGCTGTGCCACTAGAGATCCTGGTTCGAATCCAGGCTCTGTCGTAGCCGGCCGCGACCGGGAGACCCATGGGGCGGCGCACAATTGGGTAGGGGAGGGAATGGCCGGCAGGGATGTAGCTCAGTTGGTAGAGCATGGCGTTTGCAACGCCAGGGTTGTGGGTTCGATTCCCTTGGGGGGCCAGTATGAAAAAAATAATGTATGCACTCACTAACTGTAAGTCGCTCTGGATAAGAGCGTCTGCTAAATGACTAAAATGTAAATGTAAATGAATGCCCCCCTCGCTAGAGCTAACTCAGTCTTCTTCTCTGTGAGCTTAGCTGCAACAGTTGGATCCAGATGCTTGTCCATCGCTCTGCTGCTTGCTTTCTTTTGGTCATCACCGCACTTCTATTATAATAATAATGATGAATATAGAATTTAATATAGTCTACCGCTGGATGTACAGTAAACAACAAAGGTGTTATTAGGGGTTCAGCTGCAAAGCTGGTGAAAGCCTATTGTATTTGTTCTGGTTCATTGTTATTATTATACTGGTTCTGCCAATTTGCTGAAAAAAAGCAAATTCCTGTGAGATAATAAGGCCTAGGAGGATGCAAACGTTTATGATGGTAAAGGGCCATGGGCCACACCCTCTCATACAATGCCATGCCAATTGGCCACATGGTGGCGCTATAACTATAATTGAAAATGCAAACTTGAAAGCTCACGCCCCTCACCTCGTTTGAGCTACAGTTCTGAAATTCGGTATATAGATATATATGGCAAGGAAAAATTGGGCCTCAAGGAACCATAAAGTTCGCAATGATGGATTTTTCTCAATTTTGAATTTTTTAAAAACACTTTAAACACTACTCCTCTGGAACCGAATGACCGATCTGCACAAAACTTCATATGTGGCATCTTTGGACCAAGGTCTCACAAAGCAATATTTTCCAGGCTTGTACCAAAAACAACATGGCCCCTATTGACCAATTAACATTCACGTGGTCTTGCACATAAATCCCTATAAATCAGTCACAAATATTTGTATTGTAACAATACTTGGTACACATGTTGCAAACACTGTCAAGACTCAACATATTCAAGCACCTTCATATCGACCACACTGTGGCGCTATAACGGGCACATTGGTATATCTCTTGATCTGTTTGACTCAGACTGATGAAATTTGGCACACATGTTCAGGGATATGAGTCTAGATAGCCTGTAAAGTATGGTTAAGTTTGGCCACATTGTGGCGCTGTTGGACAGGAAAAAAACATTAATGCAAGCTCACTGCTTATAGCAGCCGTATTGTTTAGCTAGAGTCTTGGAAAATATGTGCATTCATATACCACATTTGGTGCCGATCAGTCCAGCGGTTCAGGAGAAGAAGACATTTAAAGTAGTCAACATCATTGAAAATGGTCCAAAATACATCTAAAGCATATTACCTGCATATTGCATGATCCATTTTATTTTGAGTTCTGATATTTGGCAAGTGTGGTAAACAGTACAGAAGTAATTCGTCCTAGGGCAATGTGTCAAATTGTTCCTGATGGTGGCACAGTGGTCCCATAGCTGAACCCCGTTATTGCTGCTTGCAGCTATATTTCCATGTGTTGCTGTTGTCCAGTGCTTGACTTGTACTGAAATAGGTGCTGGTACTCATTTTGGGTGCCTGTACTGTTTATATTTAGGTGCAAGAACTCCACAATACTTTTAGCCAATATTTTATAAGAAGTGCAGGATCTTACGCAGTAGAAAATGTGAGGTGCTGGTACTCAGTACCAGTGAGCTCCTGCCCAATTCAGGCACTGTTGCGAATGTGCATTGGGTGGACCTGGGAGCCATGGGTGGGCCTGGGAGGGTATAGGCCCACCCACTTGGGAGCCAGCCAATCAGAATGAGTTTTACCCCACAATTCTCTAAAACAAATGTCAACGCGTGCTGTAGGTGGGTGTAGTGGTGGAATCAAACGCAGAACACCGAAGGATAGTCCAAACAACTTTAGTAACTCTCCAAACCGGAAAAATGACAACACTTGCCCGAAGGCCAAAAATACGCACAAAGGCGAAATAGCAACAAGCGCACTAACAGGTGCGTAACGCTCCAACGCAGTGGAGGAAAGCTCAACCGAGCGAAAGGGCGAAAATAAGCCCTACACACGACAGACAAAATCCAATAACACACAACACTAGACAAACACAACGAGAAACTTATAGGACACTAATTACGCTAAACGAGAACAGGTGTGACAACAAACAGACAAAAGCAAACGAACATGAAACATACAACGGTGGCAGCTAGTATTCCGGAGACAACGAACGCCGAAGCCTGCCCGAACAAGGGAGAGAGGCAGCCTCGGCCGAAACCGTGACAACAAAGTTGGAGGCGGCTTCGTAGTGGTTTGAAATGTGGCTTGAAATATCCCATTCCATATGCTTTTTGGCTGTTCAGACTGCAGGAAAAATAACAGATTCGAATCGGATATGCAGAAAATCTGTATTTGATTCGCTTCAAACTGTGTCTGACTTTCGGTTGCTGCAGATTCACCTCCCCTGTTAACTTCGGTAGTTGTTTGTAACCGTCTGCATTAGCCTAACTACTCGAACAGACCCATTGCCTGTCATGTACATAGCAAGGCAGATTTCTGGGCGACACGACCAAATTTACATAGAAATGTTAAGTATAGATCTGTCATACTCATTGAAAGTAAGTCTAAGAAGCATTAGATCCGTTCTATGTGCCCTATTTCTAACATGTCCATTAAATTGTGTTTTTTTATCTTTTTACTTTCTAAAGTAAAAATAATGTATGCACTCACTAACTGTAAGTCGCTCTGGATAAGAGCGTCTGCTAAATGTACAATGATTAGCTTGTTTTGTTACATAAACTGAAATTAGGCGAACCATTATAATTTTAGCAACCAGGAACTTTTGGTGGACTGACGCATATATTGCACGAGGTGGCCTCAAACCCAAATCAGACCAGAGACAGAGCGAACAAAAGCAAACGGACCGAAAGGTAAAAAGTTTACATTAGAAGCATTATAGGGGCTACGAGGCTAGAGGTATTTTAGCATGCAAAGGTCAAGGACAAAGCAAAGCACCCGATTCCCACCACCATTTATTGGGGCAGCTTCAACCGAACCAGGGCTCACAGAAGACATGTCTGAGGGGTGCCAATCTCTGCCGCTGCCTGAGATCCAGGCCGTTGTTTGTGACTTGTGTACAGAAGACAGGAAGCCAGCACTGAAGACCTGCATCAAATGTGAGATGTCAATGTGTGCCCAGCACTTGGAGCCGCTCCTGACAGTGCCATTGCTGCTGCAGACACATACCCTGACTGAACCCATAGCACGGGGGGCTGGGGGAGTTGGGTTGGCCACGAAATGCCCCCACCACGGCAAGACTCTGGAGTACTACTGCTTGGACGACCTAACCAGTGCGTGTCTGTCCTGCGCCATCGAGGACCAGCATCACGTCCACAACATGAAGACCCTGCCTAAGGCACACAAAGAGCTGAGGGAGAAGTTGAAGAAGGAGCAGAAGGCTTTGGCCCAGAGAGAGAACCAGAGCCTGGAGCTAGTCAGGTGGGATAAGGAGCAGAGGAAGAGGTTGGCTAGTTCCAGTGTCCGGCTCAGTGAGGGAGTGTCCGCCCTGCGCGACATCACACTGAACAGCGTCCAGAGATCCGTCTCAGCTCGCGTAAAGTCCATCAAGACCTCCAAGAGAACCATGCAGGCTGCCCTGTCCGAGGGAGACTCCTTCCACTTCCTCCAGGGTTATGAAGGGGTGCACCAGGCTGTGGAGAAGGCCTGTGCTGTGGATCTGAGGAAGGGGCTGGAACCCGGGGCCGACCGGGACAAGCTTGTCCAGGAGCTACAACAGAGCGGAGGAAAGCTTGTGGAGCAGACAACACAGCTGTGGAGTTCTCTTCTGGCTCTGGTCGACCCCGAGAACCACCAGGAAAAACAGGGTTCCCCAGGGTTACCTCCCACCACCACGTTGACCTTTGACCCCACAAGCTTGGGAAGGGGCATGTCTCTATCCCAGGACCACAGGAAAGTGTTCCACACCCCGCTTGCCAAACTCACCACTCATACTCTTCTGTGCCAGTATAGCGGCTCTGATGCCAACCCTAGATGGGTGGTCAAATTCTCTGAGGACTGTGATTAGACCGTTGGCGTATGTGACAAGGAGGCTGCTAAGGAATTTCAATAACGGCTATGTCTATGCTCTGCGCTGGCAGAAGGACCAACTGAGCTCTGTTTGCACTCAGTACTATGACAGTGTTAGGCGTAGGGATGGGATGACCTATACAGATAAACCTCCAGAGGCACAAGTCGATTCTCAGTTTATCTATCTTCATGGGCAAAATGAAGCTCTACCTGAAACAATACCCCGTCCCATAGAATTAGAAGTGTTCTGGGACAAAACCTAACCACAATCCCTGGCCTTCTACAGCATGGGCAGATATCACCAGAGGTCGGAACTGCACAGAATGGAGATCGAGCATCATCAGGGTGACCTAAGTTCCTTTGTCACCCTGGGAACAGGAAGTAGCCCAGCCGGAGCCAGACAGTGTGGAGCGTACAGTCAACCAGAGCAGAAGTGGAGATGCCCATGTGGAGAGGTCCATCAGATTCAGAAGCAGTCTTTCTACCACCAGGGTCCCATGTGCAAATGTGAGAGGGTTATCCGTACGCCATATATGGAGGTGTTTTGTGAGCTTGTGTAATGTATGCAATGTCTAGGTTAAGTGCATTGAATTCAGTTTGGAACCCGGCTAGTGTGTTGTTGTTTTTGGCCAGTGTGTTGTAGTGTAGGATTCTAATGTGTGTTGGACTGACAGTGGTTTGAGGTGAGTTTACATGCAAGGCAGAACTTTGTCTCCCCCTGCTGCTCAAGTCACCTACCTATCACAATGTTGTCCCACTGTTCCAGGAAGTTCCACCTTTTTTCATGTCCCTTAATCAAAATTTTCTGACCTCATTATTGTACAATAAATCATGTAAATAGTCAATTGATTGAATGTAAGTACTGATGTTTCTGTTCAGATATTTTGAAATTGGTAATTTACAAACAGGTCTGAGAAGTACATTCTGATTTTCTTAACAGTTTGACATTTTAACAAACATTACAATTAATATCTGTAATGTACTTTGTATAAATGTGTGGATCTTTAATTGTCATGTTTAGATTTAATGCTAAAATGAAAAATAAACAATGAACTCTAAAACACAAATCATATGGAATGCTCTTTATTGGTCAGAACTGTGAAGACTGTAACAACAACAATTCCTAAAACGGAAAACACATTTTAATAAAAGCAAAATGTATAAAATTATCCTCCAAAACACTATGAAGTAAAGTAAATATACCACCATAGTGAAAACTAGTTTGTTACACACCTTAACGTAATAATGCATAGACAGAGACAACGTTCTCGCAAAGTAACTGAATACCCAGGGATCCTGACATGTTGCATGTTAGGAAGGTGGACTTTGTAGTGTTTGTTGTGTTGGTTATCGGCTGTGCAGTGCAAGCAGAGAGAAAGTTTGGCCCATGTACTGGGCTGTACGCACTACCCTCTGTAGTGCCTTGCAATCGGAGGCCGAGCAGTTGCCAAACCAGGCGGTGATGCAACCAGTCAGGATGCTCTCGATGGTGCAGCTGTAGAACCTTTTGAGGATCTGAGGACCCATGCCAAATCTTTTCAGTCTCCTGAGGGGGAATAAGCTTTGTCGTGCCCTCTTCATGACTGTCTTGGTGTGTTTGGACCATGATAGTTTGTTGGTGATGTGGACACCAAGGAACTTGAAGCTCAACCTGTTCCACTACAGCCCTGTCGATGAGTGTGGTGCTCAGTCCTCTTTTTTTTCCTGTAGTCCACAATCATCTCCTTTGTCTTGATCACGTTGAGGGAGAGGTTGTTATCCTGGCACCACACGGCCAGGTCTCTGACCTCCTCCCTACAGGCTGTCTCATCGTTGTTAGTGATCAGGCCTACCACTGTTGTGTCGTCGGCAAACTTAATGATGGTGTTGGAGTCGTGCCTGGCCATGCAGTCATGGGTGAACAGGGAGTACAGGAGGGGACTGAGCACACACCCCTGAGGGTCCCCCGTGTTGAGGATCAGCGTGGCAGATGTGTTGTTACCTATCCTTACCACCTGGGGGCAGCCCGTCGGGAAGACAAGTTCTGGCCTGGTTTAGATCCTACCTGTCGGAAAGATATCAGTTTGTCTCTGTGAATGGTCTGTCCTCCGACAAATCAACTGTACATTTCGGTGTTCCTCAAGGTTCCGTTTTAGGACCACTATTGTTTTCACTATATATTTTACCTCTTGGGGATGTTATTCGAAAACATAATGTTAACTTTCACTGCTATGCGGATGACACACAGCTGTACATTTCAATGAAACATGGTGAAGCCCCAAAATTGCCCTCGCTAGAAGCCTGTGTTTCAGACATAAGGAAGTGGATGGCTGAAAACTTTTCACTTTTAAACTCGGACAAAACAGAGATGCTTGTTCTAGGTCCCAAGAAACAAAGAGATCTTCTGTTAAATCTGACAATTCATCTTGATGGTTGTAAAGTCGTCTCAAATAAAACTGTGAAGGACCTCGGCGTTACTCTTGACCCTGATCTCTCTTTTGACGAACATATCAAGACTGTTTCAAGGACAGCTTTTTTCCATCTACGTAACATTGCAAAAATCAGAAATTTTCTGTCCAAAAATGATGCAGAAAAATTAATCCATGCATTTGTTACTTCTAGGTTAGACTACTGCAATGCTCTATTTTCCGGCTACCTGGATAAAGCACTAAATAAACTTCAGTTAGTGCTAAATACGGCTGCTAGAATCCTGACTAGAACCAATAAATTTGATCATATTACTCCAGTGCTAGCTTCCCTACACTGGCTTCCTGTTAAGGCAAGGGCTGATTTCAAGGTTTTACTGTTAACCTATAAAGCGTTACATGGGCTTGCTCCTACCTATCTTTCCGAGTTGGTCCTGCCGTACATACCAATACGTACGCTACGGTCACAAGACGCAGGCCTCCTAATTGTCCCTAGAATTTCTAAGCAAACAGCGGGAGGCAGGGCTTTCTCCTATAGATCTCCATTTTTATGGAACAGTCTGCCTACCCATGTGAGAGACGCAGACTCGGTCTCAACCTTTAAGTCTTTACTGAAGACTTATCTCTTCAGTAGGTCATATGATTGAGTGTAGTCTGGCCCAGGAGTGTGAAGGTGAACGGAAAGGCTGGAGCAACGAACAGCCCTTGCTGTCTCTGCCGGGCCGGTTCCCCTCTCCACTGGGGTTCTCTGCCTCTAACCCTGTTGCAGGGGCTGAGTCACTGGCTTGCTGGTGCTCTTTCATGCCGTCCCTGGGAGGGGTGCGTCACTTGAGTGGGTTGAGTTACTGACGTGATCTTCCTGTCTGGGTTGGCGCCCCCCCCTTGGTTTGTGCTGTGGTGGAGACCTCTGTGGGCTATACTCGGCCTTGTCTCAGGATTGTAAGTTGGTGGTTGGGGATATCCCTCTAGTGGTGCGGGGGCTGTGCTTTGGCGGAGTGGGTGGGGTTATATCCTTCCTGTTTGGCCCTGTCCGGGGGTTTCTTCGGATGGGGCCACAGTGTCTCCGGACCGCTCCTGTCTCAGCCTCCAGTATTTATGCTGCAGTAGTTTATGTGTCGGGGGGCTGGGGTTAGTTGGTTATACCTGGAGTACTTCTCCTGTCTTATCCAGTGTCCTGTGTGAATTTAAGTATGCTCTCTCTAATTCTCTCGTTCTCTCTTTCTCTCTGAGAACCTGAGCCCTAGGACCATACGTCAGGACTACCGGGCATGATGACACCTTGCTGTCCCCAGTCCGCCTGGCCCTGCTGCTATTCCAGTTTCAACTGTTCTGCCTGCGGCTACGAAACCCCTACCTGTCCCAGACCTGCTGTTTTCAACTCTTTAATGATCGGCTATGAAAAGCCAACTGAGAGACCTGAGCCCTAGGACCATACGTCGGGACTACCGGCCGTGGTGACTCCTTGCTGTCCCCAGTCCGCCTGGCCTTGCTGCTATTCCAGTTTCAACTGTTCTGCCTGCGGTTATGGAACCCCTACCTGTCCCAGACCTGCTGTTTTCAACTCTTAATGATCGGCTATGAAAAGCCAACTGAGATTTATTCCTGATTATTATTTGACCATGCTTGTCACTTATGAACATTTTTGAACATCTTGGCATGGTTCTGTTATAATCTCCACCCGGCACAGCCAGAAGAGGACTGGCCACCCCTCATAGCCTGGTTCCTCTCTAGGTTTCTTCCTAGGTTTTCGCCTTTCTAGGGAGTTTTTCCTAGCCACCGTGCTTCTACACCTGCATTACTAGCTGTTTGGGGTTTTAGGCTGGGTTTCTGTACAGCACTTCGAGATATTAGCTGATGTAAGAAGGGCTATATAAAATAAAATTGATTGATTGATTGAAGTACAGGATCCAGTTGCAGAGGGAGGTGTTTAGTCCCAGGGTCCTTAGCTTAGTGATGAGCTTTGAGGGCACTATGGTGTTGAACGCTGAGCTGTAGTCAATGAATAGCATTCTCACGTAGGTGTTCCTCTTGTCCAGGTGGGAAAGGGCAGTGTGGAGTGCAATAGAGATTGCATCATCTGTGGATCTGTTGGGGCGGTATGCATATTGGAGTGGGTCTAGGGTTTCTGGGATAAGGGTGTTGATGTGAGCCATGACCAGCCTTTCAAAGCACTTCATGGCTACAGACGTGAGTGCTATGGGTCGGTAGTCATTTAGGCAGGTTATCTTAGTGTCCTTGGGCACAGGGACTATGGTGGTCTGCTTGAAACATGTTGGTATTACAGACTCAGTCAGGGACATGTTGAAAATGTCAGTGAAGACACATGCCAGTTGGTCAGCGCATGCTCAGAGTACACATCCTGGTAATCCGTCTGGCCCTGCGGCCTTGTGAATGTTGACCTGCTTAAAAGTCTTACATCGGCTACGGAGAGCATGATCACATAGTCATCCGGAACAGCTGATGCTCTCATGCATGCTTCAGTGTTGCTTGCCTCGAAGTGAGCATAGAAGTGATTTAGCTCGTCTGGTAGGCTTGTGTCACTGGGCAGCTCGCGGCTGTGCTTCCCTTTGTAGTCTGTAATAGTTTTCAAGCCCTGCCACATCCGACGAGCGTCAGAGCCGATGTAGTACGATTCAATCTTAGTCCTGTATTGACTCTTTGCCTGTTTGATGGTTCGTCGGAGGGCATAGCGGGATTTCTTATAAGCGTCCGGGTTAGAGTCCCGCTCCTTGAAAGCGGCAGCTCTACCCTTTAGCTTATAGCTTTAGGATTTAAGTTTCCCTGCTTTAAAGTCCCCGGCCACTAGGAGCGCTGCCTCTGGATAAGCGTTTTCCTGTTTACTTATGGCCTTATATGGCTAATTGAGTGCAACTTAGTGCCAGCATCGGTTTGTGTTTAAGTTGCCGGGATGTCACGTGTCCTACTTATATCAATACACTCGTAACAAGTTCATCATTACGAAACGTCTATTCCATCCAAATAACCTCAAGTACCAAATAAGCCATTCATTTTTTTGCACACCAAATTCGAAACTCTCATTGACCTCCATACAAAAACGAATTTCTAGTTGGCGAAATAACGAAAAAACGCCACCTGCTGGAGACAGATAGATTTTCCTTCGAGTTGGGCCTCTCTCTTCCTCTTCCTCTCTGGCG